AATGTTAGAGAGAATTCTGAGCTATTCTCTATGGTGTCTGAGAGAAAAACTGTATCAGAAGGATCTAAACCCTCCCCTGATCTCTTTGAAGCCACTAGAAGGGATATTTTTATGGATCAACGTAATAACCAACAGACTGGCAGTTGACAAGGGCCTGCTGTATTCAAGTTAGCATTTGAACCAAAACCACTAGGGGATGAGTTTTCTAACTAGAAGAAATGTAACAGTCGTGTTTTCCTACACAAGGATGGGTGATGTGGAAAGACACCCACCAATTGCACCCCAACGTTACTCATGGAAAGTCTTTCACCTTTTTAAAGAGACAGACATGAGGAAAGAAAAAGGTTAGTCAAATGAGTAGAGAAAACTAAACTAACTTGTTTTAATCCTTTGGAGCAGTAGTGTGTAAGAAATGGAGCTCAGTGATGAGAACCCTAATACTGAGAACAACCTGGTGCCCAAGATGTGAGATGGCATATGGGAAACTGAGATAACTTGTTGTCCTGAATCCCACGTGAGGACCTGGAACATAAGGCAAGATCTACATCAGACTTTCACCAGAGAAACATATCTGAGAAGGATCCTGGATATGAACTACTGCTTCCTTGTTTACATCTAAAATGGAAAGGTTGACTTTGGAAATACCTGGTATGGAACAAACCTATGAGATCCACTCACTCTGTCTCCTCCAACATCACACTTCAAAATGAGACCACGACTGATGGTGCTCAGGGAAGAACTCAGTCTGCCTATGGGTGAACCTCATATTGAATGCATCCATCCCAAAGTCAGTGCCCCATACATTGAAGTTTCTTGATGAAAACACCTGTTTACTACCAAGACAAGATGAGAGCCTAATACCTACATGTGTAAGGTTCTCATGGTCTTCTGATCTGGTGTACCTGGTTTTTCCACTCTCGACCACCTTGAGGAATGGCAAAGCGGTCTGAGGCAAAGCCAAACAACCCACACCACAATGAAGGCTGTGTACTGGTAGGATAAATATAAGACCGGAAGAAGACTCTCCTATCAGTTCATATCCCCTTGTGAACTGTGCCAAGGAAACAAGTAAATTTTATTCAGTTGAGCAGAATCAAGGCCTCATACATCACAGTCTCCATAGCGAGTGATTGAAACACAGAGGCCTTTCTGGAGAGTTAGCTTTAGGTGTGCACGGGCAAGTACCTGGGTCAAATATGAATGAGTCATCACTGAAAAACATGTTAATCAAGTCTTAAAGCAGGGCAGATCCCCCTTCCTGTAACCACACAGAGGAGAAGGAAGGTAGGGGGTTTTCACGTTTTTGGAGTGTGATGTTAAATCTGGAGAAAACAAGATGGTTTCCTAGCTGGCAATCTAGTCAAATATCTATAACTTCATCTGTTTCTGCAATTATGTATGGGTCTTGCCACTACTGAGGGTGAGTTTCCAGACAGTGTAGAAATTAGCGTTAGCCTAAGAACTGAGAAGTCCTGGCTCACCAGAGGTGAGAAATGATAAGAAGGTGAGGAAAAAAAAAGATTAAAAACTGTAATGCAGGGAGAAAAAAAAAAAAAGAAAGAAGGGAATTGACAAAATCTGTATTTTGATATCAAGGGCAGTTAGAATATTCTTGTCTGGTTTTGGTTTAAAACGCAATCATCTGCATGGAGTTTTTCGTACAGAGAACATTGATTTTATAGTATCTCGCGATTTTAAATGGGGAAATATTATCAGATAGTTTGCAGGTCCAGATTTTTATTCATTTCTCCAGATGTACTGCTGATTTAAACTCAATCCATTTGTACAGATGATAAAGTCTTTCAAAAAACAATATTGTTAAATCATAAACATTAAAAATGACACACAGTGAATTTCGGGGAAACTTCTGAATGCCTCACACTAGGCAGCATGGCAAAAAGCCAAAAAACAACTCTAGCTTAAATTAAAAATAATCTCCCAAATGAAAAAGAAAATGTTTGCTCTCTGCCTCGTATGATTGGCTGGAATGAGATGGAAATTATTTAAAATGAAAAAATAGTCCAGAGCTATCCATTATTTCTTACTAATTTACAGCAAGGGTAAAATTCTTCTGTAAATCATCCTTACTGCTCAGTAGTTACATATCCAAGAAAATTTCAGAATAGCATAGGCCTACAAAATTAAAATAATTTATTAAATCCCAATAACTGTACTGTGCCAAAGTTCATGTAATATTACTTTGGAAGACAGGAAAGCATTTAAAGTGATTCCTTTTTCTTTCTCCAATCTTTTCTCAACGGTCAGCACTTGAGCAGTAACATGCTTTTGTTTTCAAAAAACTGTTGTTGAATACTTTGCATAACTTATTTTGCCTATTATTCCTGGTATGAGATTTCCTGTATGTTCCTAACACATCATGTTATTTGGGATAGTTATGTACACAGTTAGGTTTCTAGGGCTGATTCTACATTCTTCCTGTACAAGTATCATAAACTTACACTGGAGTAACACAGCATTTTGGCATTAGCAGACTTGCACTTTTTTCTTGTCACTATTGTAAGAATGTAGAACTATGTCTTTTACTTAAAGTTCAGTCTAATCTATACATTTTAGGGACTGAATTGAACACGTATATAGCTCACAAAAATAGTTGTGTCTTCAGTGAGCTATACTCATTCTTTTCCTTGCTGCTGTAGAAGGACTGTTAACGTGAACGGTAAACTGCCATCAGAAAACAGTGTAAAATATCTGGACATGCAAAAACATCCTTCCTCCTTACCTACAGCAGACTCTGTGAGGGCACCTATTGACTATAAATCAGATCTGATGTGGAAGAATGATCAACAGGCTTAAGCAAAATGGAAGAGATGATGTGCAAATGTATATTCCTAACTTCTCTACGTGACCTTCAGGTAAGTTTTAAGGGTGGAAACAGCTGAAAGCATGACTTCACTGAATCTAATGACAGATACCCATTCAATATTTCTCTCTCTGCAGTTTTTAAAGTGTCACCACAGAATCACAAGAAGCACATCGAGTAAAGCCACCTTTCCTCCTGGTTCTGTCATCCTACGAGGTCACACAGATACACAAAGCAACTATTGTGAAGGTAGTGGCAACAGGAGAAAGCAGACGTCATTCAAAAGCAAGTGTTGCCGCAGTACTGTTCAAAATGCCTAGAGATAATATTTTTAATACAACAGTGTGAAAGCCTTCAATACGAAAATGTAGGGTCAAAGGAAGCATCAATCTACCTTCATGCTTTCTGCACCTGTAAGGAGCTTACAGGAAGCTGGGGTACTTTCATTTTGGACAACTGTGATAGCAACGTTCGTCCCCAAAACTGCCAGTGAGGGCACTGACAGGAAAAGTGAGCAGATTGGCAGACCTAAATGCATACTCTATTGTATCTCTCAAAATGCTTTTCCTGAACTTTCTCATTAAAAAAGGAATCGTATTACAGCTCTACAACATCTGTATACATCTAGAAGGTGACCCAAGATTCCCTCTCTCTTTCTTGGCTTGTTTAGAGGAAACAAGATCGGCTCATCTCATCAACCACATTGACTGTAGGTAACGTCAACAAATTAAATAGTTCAGTTAGTTGTACTGTTTGGGAAGTTCACAACATTGCAGGACATTAAAAAAAAAAAAAACCCAACCAGAGTATTTTATTGTATCTTGTGGTTGCAGAGAAATTTCAAACTTTGGTTAATAATTATCCAAACCACTTTTAGTGAGGGTCAGGGAAGGAAGACTTACCTCTCTGTAATTGTTTATGTGAGCTCTTCACTTCTTTATAATAAAATTAAATACATTCTCTGCTTTCAGAAGCTATTGCCATGTTCTTTGCTACATCTCTTAGCAAACTTCTGCTAAAGACACTTCTCTATTTTGGACTAGAAATTCTATCCTATGATTTACCTGATATTAATCTAGCATTTGTGAGTGGCAAGAGAGAGAAGTAAAATTATGTAAAGATAATTCATTGCAAATACGTATCAACTATCATTAATAAACCAAACATTTACTGCCATTTATAAAAGCATTGATCAGTTTTGACACTAGGAAAATTATAATTTCATATACTCATTTACTCTTATTTTTTCCTGTTCCTCGCTTCTAAGGTCAAGTCCCACTATTTCCTTGGTATTTATGGTCCTCATGTACTTCTACATAATTTTTATGTAGATGAATTTCCTCCAAATTCAGAATCATTTTCCTGTCCTAAAATCTCTCCAAAAATGGACAATTTCTTCCTGATTTTTAGGAGCTCAGATCTAGTTTGGCGGGTTTTGTTTTTTTTTTCCCCTATGATGATTTCTTTGACATTCATTGTTTCCTAAATGTAGATATTCTGAGGTAAGCAAGGATACATGCCACATAGAACAGCAGATCAGAAGAAAATGACCCCAATTTATGGCATTGGAGACAGACTAATTTCACATTTTTATCAGCTGAGAAAATGAAATAAAGAATTCGTTTGGCTGCTCTGAACAATGGATTTGCAATTTGCATAGAAAAAATGATGGCAAAACCTCATAACCCATCAGCGTTTTACCACAAGCTCAGTTCTATTACATTTTAGTGGAGGTTCAAAGTTGTCTAAAGAAACCATTCTCTTCTTTCTCCAACTGTAAATGTGTCACTTGAGAGTTCAACTTCCAATAGGAGCAGTATCTGACACACAACTAATTTTAGAATATAAAGTGCTCCTCACCATATTGGAATACATATAATTTAAAATAACTGTAAACCTAAACTTTGCAAAAACAGAAAATTCAAGCACTAACAAAAAAGCATAATTTGTAATTGAAAGAAAATAATATTTAAAAGAAAAAAAAACTTTTTTGTCTTTCCAAAAAGAGACAGAAATTACTAAGTTTTATTTCCCAAGAGAATTATGCCACTTTTATAAAGAAAATTACAGTTACCACAAATTGCTCTCAACAATTCCAAAGCTTCTTCATTTGACCACTTGAAAATCAAAGTTCTTTAAGATTATAAATATAACTTTTTATAACTCTGTTATTACGTACTGTGAATGGGGAAAGGGGGCCAATCTTGTGGCCGTAGCGTCGAATGGCCTCTCTGATGTGGCTGGGCTGGATGGCATCTCTTTGAGCCTCTATACCACAGGCTGCAGTGCTCTGCAACAGAAAAACACATAAATTGTTACTAAATCAAAAACACACAACAGACCTACAGTGCATAAAGTATGAAAATAAACCTTTATAAAACGGACCAATTTTTTTTTCCTGAGGATACACATCATTGCTGCCACATACTACATTAGAGAAAAAAAGCTATTAACAAATCAAAGAGGACTTTTACATGAACTTTGCTTAAGAGACCCAAAGAACACCATATTTGTCCTCTTAAATCTTTCACCTAGTGCTGCTGTATGTTGCAATTGAAAAGAGCAGAAAACGTTCAAACTAAAATGAAAGGGTCATATAAGTCATACTGCAATAACCACAGAAACTATTTTTAAAACATTTCAGGCTCTCATTATGATGTCAAGGGGTGGGGAAAATATTGAACAAGTACCCAAAGTGGAAAGCAATTTGACACCAAAGTCACCATTGAGTAATATCAGATTGAAATTTGAAGATGAAACATGTGACATAATGGTGTTAGAGAGATGCAAAAATATTTTAATTACCTCAAACTGGAATGTTTTCAAATTTCAAATAACTTTTTGGATTAAGGACCCTAAATAGGAAACTATTACTATCACTGCTATTGGTGAATTGATTTTATAAAAATATCCCCAGGATTTTAAAAGAAAAAGTTACTCTCTTCTCCTTGCTAGTCAAACTGAAATGTTGGTTTAGGCTCCATCTAGACACAGCTGCTTGCCAGAATTCAGATGACTTATCAGAATGATGGCTGCTTGGTAATAAATTCATGAAAACGATATTAGTGAATGTATTAAGAATGACAAAAACTTAAATTATACACTGAAATTTAATGTACACACATACACAGCCCCCTCATACATTTACACTATATACTAATGCTTTCAAACTTGGCATATTTTTTACAAAATGTTTTATTTTCAAATGTGCTGCGTCCACTGGAGCCTGTGTGTGTACACACAGAATTATTCATAATACGATGGCAGATTCTTCCCTTGCTGATTGACGTTCATAAAGGGAATGTGAAACTCAAATATTTTCAGCTGGACTGTGCCTTCATGGACTAAGAATAACATTCTTAAGTTAACTCGTTTGTCTCAATGCCTCAGTTATATCCATTATATAGCTAACCAAATTGGATAAGTCATGGGAACATTTCATTAAAATGGTGCACTTTTTAGAATATAATTATTTCAAAAGGCATTAAGTCAAACACTAGGAAATTAAAATAAACTCACAAAACTAGTGAAATATAATGTATCAAAAACTACATCTCCAGCTAAATTTTTGTTCCTAGGAACTATAATGGAAATCAGCCACAGAAACAAAACATAATCAAATATAATATAAAAAGGAAGAGGAAAAAGCAAAAGTCTTCAGAAAAGTTTTCAGGATTCACTAAAGGCTTTCTAAATGGAATATAATAAGGGCACTGATGACACTAGAAGGAGAAAATACATTTTTTTCTGTCTGTCATTGTAAAAAACTGGTTAAATTATGTGAAAAATTAATACTTGTAGGAGAATAATAACACACGTAAGAAAATCACAAGTCACTCCATTGCTTTGCAGCAAAATGAGTACTGCCATCACATTTTTTCAAAAAAGCCCTAAGTGACTAACACAGTGCTTTCTATCCAGTTTATTTAATCAAATCTAGTTCCCTTGTGGTTTTAAGGTACATATATCTTTCTCAGATAGAATACCAAGGATCTACAACAGGAATTGTAATATTTACATTTCACATTCTGAATATGAGACATCCATAATTTATGCAAAGTAAACAAATATTTAGATTGAATGCAACCAACTGGCATAAAAATAAAGCAGGTCAGGCAAAGTTGTTATAGGCAAAGAAGACAGTCGCCTAAGGCTGCTGGGAGCAGGAAAATCACAACCACCTCTTTGCCTACTTTGCTTATGCGTTGAACCTCAAAACCTGTGCTAGCTGCTACTGTCAGAGAAGGGGATGATTATTTGGGATGGTATCTACTGCTTTGGCTGTAGAGCAGCAGCTTATCTTAGAAGCAGCAGTTGTTACCTCAGCAAAATTCAGTTTGCAGCCATTACTGAAAAGCTTTAGCCTAGTTCTGATAGAAGGAACACCAAACCACACATTTGGCCCTACAAAAACATTGGTAGTTAACACGTGATATAGGTTAAAATTAATATTTAAAAAGAGACATGTTATTTCCTGGAGATGTTTTGGTTTCTTCTTCTTTTTTTTCAGGCTTGTGCACCAAATACCTTTTTTCTTTTCCTTTGTTTGGATTTGGTAGAGTCCTGTCCAATTCCACCATTCCCCAGGGCTCCTGATGGGGTTTTCCCAAGATGTTGCTGTCCTGCTGATGCTGGGGGTGTGGGCGTAGGAGGTGGTGTGTTTTCAGGAGAGTCAAGACTGGTCTTCACACTTGTAGATTGCCCTAAGAGATGCGGCTATAAAAGCAAGATGTCAAACAGCCATTATATAATCAAATCACCAAAAAAAAAAATCTTAGATTTACTGTTAGAAGAGATGTATTACAGAATTAAATTTGCTCATTCTAGAGGTTACTATAATATCGGTATCGCAGCAATGCATGCAATACAGCACTTATTGCACTTGCCACTGTTGACAACTTTAATCTCCAAATCTGCAATAGGGAGAGCCTTCAATACAGAAAGAAAGAATTTCCACCCAAGAAAAGAGGATTTACATTTAAATATAAAGATGCTACTAAGAATTTAACATTTGGAACTATAATTTAATGTCTTTCTGTCTAAATCCATAACTTCAATGTTCAGAAACTCCATAACAGAAGTCTAGATCAATACCAGATTCAATAACATCTACTTTGAAAGCAATAAACTACGTTTCACATGTAAAAGTAAAACATCAAATGCATTAATATGTGAAAAAGCAAGATTTACCTCAGTAGAGTTGTGATACTGTATGAAGGTGGCAGATATGGCATGACTGAATGGGTCACCAGCTTTGGGAGCCATGTCCTGCTTAACCAAAAGGGCCAAGTCCACCAACTGGAGGGGCAAAAAACAGCCAATAAACAGGTAGGTTTACTGACATGGTACTTACTACCACTACTACTAAATGCCATGGTAACAATGAAGAGAGATAGGAGTTGTGAGTTGAGGCAGATTATTCTTAGTGTTTCTCAGTTGAAAACAAAATTATTCCGAGATATTTCAGCCTAAGGAACCTTTCTTTTCCACTTCTGTAAATATATGGTGTAGTCTATCTACCCAAGAGGGCTTGGCTTGGCACTAAGGTAACATTTTGTTTTCCAGGAAATCCTGCTTTTTTAATCCAATTGTGCAATGGGGTTGAATGAGCCTCAGCGCACTGCCAAAGGTCACATAGCAAAGTATGTGGTTTCAGTTTGGACTTGAATAAAGTTCGTGCTGGACTCCACTCTGCTCTGTAACCATTATAAAACATTTCTATTGTGTATCAGATGGATGAAAACGGTATAGTATGCATCTGTCATACAGTAAATTGAAAGACAGACAGGAATTCAGTTAGCTTGGTTAGCTGAAGTAGTGACTGCATGCTTCTGAAGGGGCTTACAACACCGTCACTTGAGGCCGAAGTACATCCAAGTACTAATTCATTTTGTTTAGCTAGAGTTCAAACAGTAGAGTGTAATCCCTTACCTGTGCCACAGTCTCATACGCTAAATATGCCAAAATCTCCATTGCAACTGCATTTGGCTTTATTTCCATACTGCTACAATCCAACCAGTCACGAAACTTGGATGCTTTCTTTGCTGGCAGTTAAAATCATAAGGGGAAAGGAGAAGTTAACAACAGGTAGGCCAAAATAATGCAATTTTTCTGGTCATAGAAAAGACTGCAAATGTGAAACAAGGAGTGTGAATGTGATTTGATTGGCCAAGGAAGGAATTCTCAAAATGGAATTAGTGGGGAAAAGACTGTTATTTCATACACAACATTTTGGAGACCCATAAGCAGCATGGAGTAAAGAGAAAAACACACAGTTAATCAATGATACGTGAGATTTCAGAACAAGGAATGGTCTACTTCAGAGGACCATAGATGGGACAAACCCGATTTTGAATATATTATTGTAAAAGAAACAATATGATTGCATTGCATCTTTGATGAATGAGAGAAAGCACTAGAAGAAATCAACACAAATCTGGGCCCAGATAAAATGATATAAAAATGTTAACAACAGCGAAGACAAATGAAGAAGGAAAGAAGAACTAGGAAGTCCTTGTGTTAACCATACAGGGATTAGGTGCTGACAAACTGGCCAAAATGATTTGTAGATGAGTGTTTTTAAAGTGTTCTTTGGATATAAAGAAATAAGGATAGACGTAGATCTGCAAATGATCAACATTCATATGAGAACTTCACACTGCTAATGGATGAGATCACTTAGGAGAAAGTACAGAGAAAAATACACGACAAAGAAACATGATATTTGCTGAGAGAGTAAAAGGAGGAACGAGAGATACCAAAGTGGAACTGAAAAAGCATCGTGGAAATTCACAGGAGAACCAAAAAACGGACAATCTTTCTTAGGTCAGTGGTGGACAAGCTGATCACAGAAAGCTGCGGAGACTTGGACAGAAAGAAGCTAGTAATACAGAGGTCTTAATGAGGGCTGTTTGTGAAGACAGGACAACAAAAATGAAGTAAATACAAGGTGGAAGAATCATTGAAACAGCTCTTTCAAAGAGAGCCTTCAACGAGGACTAAAAAGCTAAAGAGATGTCAGGTGTTAAAGAGAAAACAGGTGTAAATAATGGTTACTTTTTAGGAGGGAATGAAAAAGCTACACAGAATTGCTGAGGGCCAAAAAAAAAAGGGCAAGAGAAAAAGTGTGAAGGTGATAGCAGGACCACAAAATGTTCCTAGAATTTAAATTTGTAATCGTGTAGTCCTTGATCTTTGATGGATCTTTTCTTTCGCCTGTCTTTAAAACTGCACAGAAATACATGGAGCTGTAATTATGAATATATATTGTTAGAAGAGGTTTCTTGAAGTCCCTTCCAGGTTTATTCTCTTGTGACACGGTTTTCATGGGTTTATATTACAGTAAAAAGGGTTTACTACTTTAAGCATAGCAATACATTCAATTTTTACTAAAATATAAGAAAATAAGCAAAAATAGCCTTTGCATTAGTTTTGAACAAATGTTCTACATGGCCTTTAGTATGTGCTATCTAGTTGAGTTCATATTATGCAATTGAATTTGTGCATGAGTCTCTCTTGCTATTGTTTTCTAAGCACTGTAATTCTCTTATTCTTTAACGACATTAAAAGTCAGTGAAAAGGACTGTATAGACATGGTCATTTAAAAACACTGAAAATATCATTGAGACTTTTTTATAGATCACAATCCCCCGGTCAGCAACATTCCATTTTATTTTGCAAATTTAGGATTTCTATTTGTTCTGCCTCCAGATGATAATTTTTGGGTTTTAAAGATGACTTTATCACAAACCTCTCATTTGCTGAAGTCACCCTAATCTGAAGTATCATTTATCTAATGGCTCACAGATGTGTGATGCCAAATTATAACTAAGCTTACAAAACATATTGAATTAGGAAAAGAAATGCTTACAAAACATGTTTTCCTACATTTGCTGACATTTGCTGATACAGAACAGTATTTCAAATGTGTCATTTATTTGCCATAAATGAGTCACTCTTTCTTTGAATTTAAAAGGAGGAACAAGATAAGGTCTCTCATTTAAAGACACCATTGTGTTCAAGTCTGTGTTGTAGGATCATGTGCTGTTTTGTCATGATTTTTACTGGCTCCTTCATCTCACTTTCTCTGACATTTGACCTAAAACCTTAGTCATCACTTAACCACTTCTGTAATGATGTTTTGCTACATGATCAAGCCCATTAATTTACAGCTCATTATAGTTGTGGCCCACAAGTACTTCTAGTAAGTTGGTTTTCAGTGCTAGTAAAGCCCTAATTCTGTCATCATGTTATTAGTGTTGGAATGGCATATACTGATGAATTTGGCTAATGTTGAATAAATTCCACAGCAGGAGCTTACAGCTTAAAATAGAAAAGACTCTTTAGTAAGTTCTTTGTGTCTCTGCGGATAGGGAAATAAAAGCAAAACTTGCTGCTCTTCTCTAATTTTAGACACATTCCGAAAAACCTGCAACCATGAAACTTTACTAATATGCTGACTATAACACCACCACCACAGACTTCAGGCAAGTATGGGTGTTTTAATCCATTAACTCTTTACCAGTTCTTTCTTTGCAGTCGTCCCCACCAGCACAGTATTTGAGCATATAGAAAGCTTGGTAAATATTCAAATAAAATACTCTGCCTGACAGCCTGAAACTATGCTAAATTAACTGTTCCCAGGAGTTACGTGGACAAAGAATTTAAAGTTTTATTATTGCGGATGAAACAAGTGCTTTAAAAAACCATGAGGTTCTGCTGTGTTCTCTATTACATGAAATAATAATCAAATATCTTAATACAGTGCAGCCATTATAATACTTACAAAAACTCAACTGCCGACTTTCACAAAATTCTGCATACTGGACCGAGTCCATCATTCGTGTTTGTCTTTCTGCTCTCTGACAAAAGAGTAGAAGTACATGATGTACCTTATTCCAACAAGAACTGCATTCCACAACAGGAATTATAGCAGCAAAGCACCCCTGCCATAACCTTGAAGTAACCCCCCCAAATAAAACATGCATTGAACAAGTTAAGATGCAGAAATATAAACCACAGATTGGTTATTAGTGTCGTGAGTTAAATTACCCAGAAGAGCGTGTCAATTCTTATTTTAAAAATCTGCTTGCACACCGCTCACCTACGACAGTGACGAGGGCTGAGTTAGGAAAGGTGCTGAACACTCTTGCCCTGACCAAGGTGCACATTTAAATTGAAGTACATGAGTAGTCTGCCTACGTGTTTACAGATGACCAGACAAGTAAAACGTTCTCCTGGACCAAGGCCAACATGTTCTGCACTGAGCAGAACTGAACCTGTGTGCTTTTAAAATGGGAGCATTAGCAGCAGTGAAATGAATAAATTCCATCACATTGAGGAAGTATCAGACAGAGCGGAGCACTGAAGTGCCCCTTCCCACACAGACATTCAATATACTGTAATAATTATGTGGTAAATGTGCCTGTTTCATTTTTTTTTTACTGTTAAGCTATGCTTGATTTTTTGTACTTCTGAACACCTACAGGAGAAGAAAGGAAATTAGACTGAATTAGAGTTCATTCAAGAAAAATGGCTTAAAATGTTCACTACTGGATTTAAGAATGTATTTCACACAGAATCCAGTGTAAACCAGAAGATTATACCTCAAAAAAGTCAAGGTACGAAACCATAAACATTACGCACACCCTTCCCTCCACATATATACTATGTCATAATTGAATCACGGTTGAAGCAGCACTGAAGTTCATGGTTAAGTTTGAGCGTGTTTGAGTTTTGTTTACTTCAACAGAGCAGGGTTGATTTTCACAAGGTAGGGATCAGGTCTCTAGAAGAGATTAAATCCTTCAAGTATCAGAGGCAGGAAGCAGTGGTTAGATTAAAGAGATTATCCTCTTGAGAAGCAGACAGCTTACTCAAGTCTCTCAAACAAGGAAAGTAGATTGTCTTAAACATCAAGGAAAGGAATATAACTATCTTCCAAGCAATAACTCAATCAATAAATCATTACACCTGCTAAGAACAGAACCATAACTAAGGATACAAAGTGGTATCAGGAGTGGCTGATGGCACGAGACTTTACTTCTGCAGTGAGTCCATACAGCTCAAGAAACATGCACAAAGAAGGTAAGGTCCAGGTGTGTTCGCATTAAAGACAAAAAAACAAAGAAAGAAAACACACACACACACAAATTTTGCTCTGACTTCCCAAGCACTTTTACATCTGATGAAACCAAAATTGCGAAGTTCTTTAATCAGCTTTAATGGAAAACAAAAGGGTTGTTGATAAGAGTATTTGGAGACAGGCTATACAACCAGTATTTGGCCTTAGAAGTTTCTCAAATCAGGAAGAAAAAAAAAAAAATCATAGAATCACAGAATGGTTTGGGTTGGAAGGGACCTCTAAAGGTCATCTAGTCCAACCCCCCTGCAAGGAGCAGGGACATCTGCAACTAGATCAGGTTGCTCAGAGCCCCCTCCAACCTGACCTTGAAGGTTTCCAGAGATGGGGCATCCACCACCTCTCTGGGCAACCTGGGCCAGTGCTTCACCACCCTCAGCGGAAAAAATGTCTTCCTTAGTCTACCTAAGTCTAGTCTCAGTCTACCCCCCCTTTAGTTTAAAGCCATCCCCCCTTGTCCTGTTGCAACAAGCCCCACTAAAAAGTTTGCCCCCATCTTTTTTATAAGCCCCCTTTAAGTACTGACAGGCTGCAATAAGGTCTCCCCGAAGCCTTCTCTTCTCTAGGCTGAACAACCCCAACTCTCTCAACCTTTCTTCATAGGAGAGGCGTTCCATCCCCCTGATCATTTTTGTGGCCCTCTTCTGGACCCGCTCCATCAGCTCCGTGTCTTTCCTGTGCTGAGGGCTCCAGAGCTGGACGCAGTACTCCAGGTGGGGTCTCACCAGAG